GACCCAGGTAAGGCGGGTCTTGCACTGGAATCCCAGCTGCTCCTTGGCCCCTGAGCTCGTGTCCACTGTAGTCGCTGACGCCTCATACAAGGGTGCACGGCGGTGTGCGCAGCGTTTTTTTTATACAAATGACACCGATGTGCGCGAGAAGACATAAATGGTCTTTCTGGTAGCCGTATGGTTGCTTCGGGTTTCGTTTTACCTCTCGCGACGTGTTGGTACGCATGCAGCTTTAGTTTTAGGGGCCGCTATTCGACAACCAAGCGTGCCTCCTCCAGTCCTCCAGAACCCACGTTGCAGCGGTTATCACGCCGCCAGTGAAATGCTTGCGTCGGGCTTCAGCAGACAGCATAACATGTAGTTGTCGGCCAGGACCATGATTAAGTCATTTAGAAATGTTTACTTCCACGAAGAAGCCGGTGTGCGCAGTTAGGCGGCTGAACATTGCGCGGAGTAAAGCCGACACTGATACATTCTGATGGCCCTAGTCATCCTCGCAGCAAGCTCATCAATAAAACATATGTGAGACCTCGAATGACCTGCTGCGATTCGTTTATGGCATCTTGACGCGTTAGCTTAACAGAAACGTTTTACTTCGTATGGGGTTATGGAGTGATGTATCCAGATAACTGTGCAGACGGATATTGCGCCCATAATATTATTTTGGCATGACACGCTCTTATTTCTAAGGTTGAATGTTATAAATCCACCGAAGCATCAAAAAATAGGACAATTGTATGAAAGCGGAGGTGTCACGTGGCCACGATTGACAACGCCAACGACCAATGTTCTGACGCCCGTCCGCTGTGTTCGGCCATTGATCGGTCGGATGTGACGTCACACCGAGTGTGACGTCATGCCGAGTGTGATGCAACGCGCCGGAACCCTGTTTTTCGCCAGATCATGATACTGCCAGCTCATCCCAACGAAAACAGTCGATGGCATGGTCATGTCCAGCGTGCGCTGCTTAAGCTTGTTTTTCTTTTCTGATGACCCTCAAGGACGAGACGGTCATTCTCTTCAGCAAATTTTGGTCGCTCCAACAAAGACGTGCTATCCGCATCCGGTCAAGCAGATAGGACGTCACCAGCAGATGCAGGGGTACCGCGCACCGGAATATCGACCGCTATGCCGTACATTTGGAGCCTATGGCGAAGCGATGCAGCAAGGAGCTGGCAAATTATGATGGTCTGTTCTCGGGCGCTCTCTACGCGCGTCAAACGCGAATCAAAAGTCGGTGATCATGGTGACGATATGAGATAAGGTGTGACGCATGATACAAAGCCAAGAGTGCCTAAATTGAGATCCAAGATACCTTGATCGTCACAATATAAGCAATTCCATGCAAGGTACAAATATCTGGTAAAGGCATCTTAAATATGCAGGCTGGAAGCAAACTGCAATCGATAAACTACCGCGTATTGTCTAAAAGAAGGTATGACGGAAATAGGTCGCGTGCTTGGTTTTCAAGTATGCAATCAAAATACCTCGGGATCCTCTTCTTTGAAGGAATGAGCAGCGTGACCAGACGAGAATCGGGAGAGAAGGGGATATCCCGTATGCACGGCGACAGCTGTCGAAAGACATAACGCATTCAGGAAAAGCGCAACGCAAGCAGCTGTGCAGTTGTTAGCTATCACCGGGGTCTATGCACACGAGTCCGATCTACACAAAAAGTGTTCGTTTGAACAGAGCGCAAGGGAGATCATTTCGACAGGTGGCCAGGTTCCAAGATGGTTGCCTTGTCGGAGCTGCCCGCTCCCAAATGCGATCGCGGGTGTACTGTGGTCGCTACCGCTGTTGCACCTGCAGCTGATGATGTGGACCCTGAAGTTACTGCAAGTGTTCCAGCGAGTTGAGACGCTGCTGAGATGGTTCGGTGTCCTGGCCGAAGGCTCGTCGTTGCCCCATGCGTGGTGTGAGGCTAGCGTGTGGCGCGCAGACACATGCTACTGTACAGACACCGCAGATACATGCCACTGTACGGACATCGCAGACACATGTCACTGTACAAACATCACAGACACATGCCACCGCACAGACATCGCAGTCTTTCGGGTGTTTGGTTTGCATAAAAGCCTTGTCGGCCAATAGTGACTTTTTAGATCTATGCGAAGAACGACCGTGATCAGTCATGGGCGGGGATGTAATTTCGTAACGTTGGTCGGGAGTCTGAGCAGAAAAAGGTGGTCAAATCTTCCCCGAGATTTGCCTAAAAAACTGGTTTCCCCTCGGCGTGGTACGATAGTGTGTGCCATTGCGCCACGTCATGGCCTTCGAGATGGTGTGGCGATAAAACGTAACGTGGCGTGATGGTGACGCGTTGCGTGGTGTGGTGCAGGTACGAGTCGCAAGACGGAGTGGTCGTGTGTGGCACAACAGAGTCGTGACGCATTGCGCGGCCAGTGTAGTGTTGGAAGGATGCCCCTGGTGTATTGATGGTGTACTGCAGCTCCGGGGTCAGTGGAGGAGGAGTCGACGAACATCGACGGCATTGGCCAGTCTGCGTGCATCGGTCTGCAGGGCTTGCTCCACGTGTCTCCATAAGACAAAGACGCTGCTCGAAGCCCAACTGGGGCTTTGCAGCACGTAATCGCAGACGGATTTTGCGCAGCGTTTGTGCCAATCGATGTTCCTCCGACTGGGATGATCAGAAACCGTCACCATAGCGCAGTATCTGGGTTGACTAAGTGCCGCCGAATCACGAAATTCTCACGCTGACTTACCTTAATGAAATCAGAGAAAAGACAGTATTGACTCGACCAACTTAGACCAAGCCGATGATTATTTCTGT